TCTACCCAGTCAATACCTTTAGTGAGTCCACCATCCTGAAGGTCACAGGTTTGACCTTGGCAACAAACAAGATGCCCTTAAGCAAGTCACAGTCAAACTCTTATTTTTTAACTTCTTATATGTTGAACAAACTGAAAGACTGAGAATACACTGTAAATACAAAAGACAAAGAGGATAACGAACACATGAAGGGTTACTGTATGTTGGGGAATGTGAAGGCATGAAAACAGTGAGGTGAGCAAATGGAGAAAATGAATTGATGGGTGGAACTGATCTTGTTAACTTGAGGCAGTGGTGCACAACTAATTGCATAAAACAGAGCCCAAAGCTGCAGGTCAGACAGGAAGAGAGCAAGGGAGGGAGGCAGAGAGAGCAGTGCGAATGATAATGGCGAACAAGGGGCAAGGGCAAAATGCCAACTGACTTCATTAAATGCAAGATGAATTCAAAGTTGTGTGAAGTATACTGCTGCCAAAGAAATAAAGAAAGCAGGAGGACTGGGCATTGTTTATAACTGCTGAGTCAATTTCCTGTTTGTCTTGACAGAGATCCGGGAGGCGTTTAAGGTGCTGGATCGTGACGGAAACGGTTTCATTTCCAAACAGGAGCTGGGTATGGCCATGCGGTCTCTGGGGTACATGCCCAGTGAGGTGGAACTGGCCATCATAATGCAGAGACTAGACATGGATGGTGAGTCACACACACATGCATATTCAGCAGGGTGTAAAAATGTAATGTGTGAAGTCGGCTGGGTTGCTCCCTCCATGTGTACAGACTTAAAGAAAAACATAAAATCATGAGGTATATGGTCTCATCAACAGGCAGCTTTGATTTACAGTCAGCACTGTTTTTCTGTGCAGTCTTGGCTATTTAGATACGTAGATTATGTATACCTGGGTCGTGCATAAAGTGTTGATTCATGCGTGCTCGAGTGTGTACTCATCTCAGTCTCAGCCACCCACTGTTCCCACTTGACACATGAAAGCACCAGTGAAACTGATGCCAGGAGAGAACAACCCATTGGAAGATTTATGTGAGAATATTAACATGTTTGCACACATGACATGAATATAGTTATGTCAGATCAAAGTGGATCTTCATATTGGAATGTCAAAAAGTCATGAATGGTGCATTTACTGGTGTATTTTATGTCATAAAACAAGACTTAAAATGTATTGGCCTTGTGTTAACAGACCTGATTTCAGGTGTCTAATCAGAAAACCATTTACTTGAGAGCGAGGGAACTGGAAGTGCAAAAGTGCTAACTCATTTTCAGGTCTTAGGACTCACTATTGTGGCACTCTATAAATCCACAGTGCTTATGGTTCCTGCTGTGAAATTAGTGAAATCTGAATCAGCTGAGGTTTATCTCTGCAGCACCATCCTTACCTGTGACCTTTCCACCTTTTGTCTTCAAAAAGAAGCCTCTGAGCAACAAGAAAACACAAGCAGTCTTGCCAACAGTATTTGTGCCAAGCTTTTTGTATTTACTGTGACTGACATTTTATAAAGGGTAGACACTTAAAAATGCATACAGCGGGGATAGGAGAATGCAATACGCAATGTCAGATCACTGGGAAAATATTCAAATTCTTCATTCTGTTTTCACAGCCTGTGTGTGATAAGAGCTTTTCAGTTTCACTGTGGAGACAGAAATACTTGACAGAAATGTTCAAGGCTAAATATTAAACTTTAAAAAGTTGGACTGGTTTTATTTCTCTTCCGACTCCTCTCCTCTGCTGAGAATGTCAGGAGACCACAGTGGCTGTTGTTGCGCCACAGGGTCTGGTCTTGTGACATTTTCTGTTGCTGCTTTAAAAAGCAGGCAAGGCTCTTTTGGAACTGAGGAAGGTCGCAGCAGCTTTTGTTTCAGGAGGTCTGTCAAGTGTTATGCTGTTGGTTTGTTTATTCACTTAGTTCTCTTCTTTCTTTCTGTCTCTGTGTAGTGAATCTCAGTTTGTTGGAGTTGTTTGTTTAGCATTAAATGACACAGGTCAACTTGTTTGTATTGATTGATTAGCAAAATAGGTGTTATTGAATCTGAGAACTGGCTGGCTGCCCAGCAGGGCGGTCTTGGGGTTTGTTACTTTGCCAAAAGGCTGTTCGCTCAGATATTGTCCAACAGGTTTGACAGTGCATGGGGAGGAGGGTATTGGCAGGTTTATGAGGGTAAATGATGGTGATTGTATGTTGGCTGAAGTAGGCAGCTGTGAGGATTTAGCTCGATCCTGATCCCAGCAGCCAGTTCCATACGATCTCCAGAAGAATCTGGTAGGTTAGCAGCTCTGCTCATCTCTGCTTTCAAGCCAATCCATGTGAATAATATTAAGCCATATTTTCCCTTCATGGAGAGTTGTGATTACTCCTTTTTGTTCTAGATCACAGCACTGCAACACCCTCTGGGTTTCATTAGATTACATGCACTCTTCTTAAATATCAACAGATACCAACACTGTGTTAATGCTCCCTAGTGTCTTTTATTTGATTTGAACTAACAGGAGCAGGTTTTCACATCTTACTTTTGTTTTGTGTCATTTCCACTTGAAACATGATGCTTAGCTGTGATATAACACTGGTCAAAAGTCATTTAGTGACTTTGTGCATAATGCTGAGGTGCCACAACCTGCTGATGCATCAAAGCAAAAGACAACATGCAACCATAATGTATTAGGAAAGCAAACCAGGTTTTTATGTTGAACCTTGAATATTCAATAGTATTATCCAGTGTTGAGGGTTGCTTTTGTTTTATAGTTAAAACTTTTATGTGCTGTGGTACAGACAACTGGTACAACATGAAGTAACAGGGAAAAAATTGAGAGCTTTCAGTTTTTAGAAAAAAATCACCTGACTGTCAGCAGGTTTTTAAGGTTAAAACTATTATGGGGTGTGTTATGAATCTCCAGACTTTAAAACAGCCAAACAGACACAGTGTTCATCTATATGTATGAGTATTTGTCCTGCATTGCACAGTTTTTTGACACCACTGGCATAAAATTGCTGCAATTAAGAAACATAATATTATAGATATAATAAACAGTGACAAATGTAATTACAAAGACCACTAACTGTTACAGTACCACCATCAGTAATGCAGTCAGGCCAAATGGCAACGAGGTGAGATTCTGATATAAAAATAAGGGTGCAGTCATTGTCTGTTGCAACAAATGCAGGCTGCTGCTATTGTGTTCATTGTTAGACTATTCATTTAAAAGGAATTCCTATCTTGCACTGCTGCTGTGTGGAGAGCTTCCCTTGTATCACCTATGAAAATGAGTAGATTTGTCACAGAGTGGTGTTTTAATTATTGGTTTGTTCATATTCTCCATCAACTGGCTGTTAGCGCCAACAAACGCAGAACATGGTCATCATAGTTCTCATATTTCTGGCTGTTGGCTGCGAGATGTTTCACTCTGTTCACAGCTCGCTGGTAACGTTGTCTGTTTGATGACTGCAGGTGGACAGGTGGCACACAGTCATTTTCTGGTAGAGTTGTTTACTGAAAACAGCTCCCTGTTGCTGTAACCAGGGTGGGTGAGGGCAGTGAGAATGAACCTTACAGAAAATGTGCTTTCACATTACATTCAATCAGTTGTTTCTGATGAGATATTAAAAAAATCACTTGGTGGGGCTTTAAACAACACATGGTTTGTAGCTTGGTCCTCGTATATACACAACTACTTTACCATCCTGTCGTCTTCACTCTTCACTCAGGACGGATGTCTCAGTACTGCTTCTGTCTGTCTGCCCTGCTGAATATTCATGGATACAAGATCCATCCGTCCTGACATCCTTGGTCTCAGTACTGCTTCTGTCTGTCTGGCCTGTAGCCCTGCATTTGCCCTGCTGAATATTCATGGATACAAGTGCAGTCAGTGGCATGGAATGATACGGTGCCAGTATACCCCACGGTGGTCATAACAGTTGAAGCAGGAGCAGAGGAGCTGTAGGCAGAAGCAGATTGAGTCATCCTGTGTCTGTAGCTTTGAGGTTCCAGCCTCATCAGCAGATACAGGAGGAGCAAGTTGGTTGAGAAATATGAGACAACAAAAAGAAGAATCCAGGTACTGAAAGAACAAGAGGGCAAAGAATTCTCTTTCCTTTCCCCTCACTTTAGGTAACTTATCGCTTTGAGTTAGAATTATGTTGAGGTGAGGGAGTTCTGTCTGTGTCATTAATTAGCTAGTTGTGCAGAGTTTTTATACATGTAATTTTTCAGAATTCCCTTAGCCTCTAATGTAAAGCTACAGCTTTCAGTGTAGGTTTGGCTCAGCTAAGCATGAAACCAGACACGCTCTGCAGGGCAGATAAAGAAACCTCAGTGGGATTATGAAAAGTTTTTGTCTGAAGAATAAAAGAATATGATTCAAGAATATTCAGCCACGTCATTATGAATCCATTACTCCGTTACTGTAGTTTGAATTGCTGCCGTCTGCAGTGTTTTGGTGCTTTGCTTTGACAGTAGCTTCAGCAGGTATAAGCAGGCTCCCAGATCCGTGCTAGTGGAATCGGAGTGTGCTGCAGGAAATCCATGTTGTAAGTTAGCTGTAAACTTTGATATGATTCATATTCAGCATTATAGAGCGAGTCAGAGCTGTGTGATCTGAAGGATGATTGTTGTAAATTATATCAAAGATATAAACACCATCCATATTTCCCTTCAAGCCTGAACACCAGGTGTTTCTATAAACACATTGTAGAAAACTTCAGCAGACAATGTATGCAGCCCTAATAGATTCACTTATGTCTGTGCTTTACACTTATTTACTACAGGAAATCTTCAATGCTGTGCGTGTCCTCCCTTTCTCCCAAAAACCTGACTTTATTTTCAGACGTCTAGTGCTACATGGACACATCAGCGATAGTAGGAAGGGAACACCATTTGTTATTCACTCTTCCTTGTCTCTCTCTCCAGACCAGTGAAGATCAGATACCAGTGAGACTGTGTTGTTGCTTTCTGAATGATTTTCACTGTATTTGATGGTAAAGTTAAGACTATACAGTGAGATAAGAGAGCTGAACTAATGCTCAGCCCCTAGAAACAGCAGCCTGGATACTGCTCAAAGCTTCGAAAGAAACAGTCAGATGGATAAGGAGCAGCAAGGAGTTGGGATGAATTTTATGCCACTGTTGGGGATGTTCATGATTAGTTGGTCTAAATCTACAAATATTTTATTATTTAGTTTTTCCTTTATTTAACCAGGTAAAGCCTCATTATCATTAACATCTGTTTTTCAAGAGTGACTTGGCCAAGAGGATAGCTTTGTTACAACGGTAGACACAAACAACACAAATAAGCAAATATAACTGGCACACACTACAGTCAAGGTCAGTACAGTTAAGATGCATAAACAAGTACAACTTTAAAATGATAAGCAATCACACTGGGAAGTGCACCTAAAAACTTTTTTTGCCTAATCCTATTATAACTCTGTGGATCAACGTCTGTAAAATACTGTGTGAGCGTAGGTTACATTGATTACATGTAGGTAAACTCATGGAATTTAAAATTGCTTCTCTCACGATACAGGTGGTGTGTCTTTAGATTCCATGATTATATATAAATAAGAGTGGACCAGCTCAAGAAGAGATTTATATATAAAAACTAACCAATGCAAAAGTCTGTGGACATACAGATATGGCCCTTTAGCAGCAGTATACAGAGTACAGCAGTGTACAAGATTTTCATTGCCAGTAATGAAATGTAAAGCACAACAGTATCCAGCTTCTTTAGGTATTGGGGGAAAAAAAAGTCTTCTGGCTAATTCTGGTGCAGTTACAGTAATGTTTATTAATTTACATTGTCCCTGTTAAATAAACTATTAATTTAAATCAATACATCATCAGCTATCAATAATCTGTCCCTTTTTTCTCATGTCAGGTGATGGGCAGGTTGACTTTGAAGAGTTCATGACGATCCTTGGACCCAAGCTCCTGTCTTCTGAAACGAGAGAAGGCTTCCTGGGAAGCACAATAGACACAATCTTCTGGCAGGTAAAACTTCATCCTCTTGAACTCTTCATCCTCTTGACAACAAAAGTCATCTCAGGACACTTTACAAAGTAGAGTCTAGACCTCATTATCATTATTATAGAGGAAAACCCAACAAATCCCCCCTGAGCAGCACTTGGCGACAGTGGGGAGGAAAAACTCCCTTTAACGGAAGAAACATCCGACAGACCCCGGCTCTTGGTGGGCGGCCTTCTGCCTCGACCGGTTGGGGCGAGTGGATAGAGGAGAGACAAAAGAAAAGAGAAGCAACAAAACACAAAAAGCACCGGGCAGGTTGATTAAGTTAATTGTTGTCAATAAGTGGAGAATGAAAAGCCTCATGTTCTCCACATTTCAGTTAAAGCTGCATGTGTTGTAGAGGGGCTGTGGTCCATTCAACTCAGACTTTAGAGGATCTTATGTTCTGCTTAATATACTGTAGAGCATCTGAGTGATGGTGTAACTGATGATGATAATACATGGCCCTGACAGATGAGCCTTTCAACAACTAAAAGGGCTTTCAGAATTTGAAGAGAGCTGTGATAGATGAATCTGTGGCATAAAACATAAACGACAGAAAATGTTAGTGTGGGATTGAAATGCACTGACTTTGAGTGAGTGAGACAGAGATGAATGTGCAGACAACAGAGTGAGAGAGCACAGATGAGAATGATGACAGATTGAGCAGGTGTGAGGGAAAGAACAGTACATGTGGCACTGATAGTAACTTTTGGCAAGCCTGTCCTCTTGATGTATTATTTGGCTTGACCCGAGCTTTGTCCTGAGCAGGAGCTTGTGGTTTACTCCGAGAAGACATGAGTCTTTGAAGGTATGAACGAACATACTGCTGGTCTTGCATTGACCTTGGCGGATGCAGCTGATGCATGTAAGGCTGGTGGTTGTGAGATGGCTGCCTTGGGGTTTGTTATTTCTGCACTTCTACACACCCACAGCACCAAGCAGAAATTGACAGCAGACACCTCATCTGACATGTAGAGAATATTCAGAGGGAAAAAATGCAATGCTGACTTTGACTTATCATGGATATTTCTCTGCACACCTCACAGATGTGCCTAGACATGAGCCTGTGGAGGTATGAACGAACATGCTGCGCAGTTTTGTGCTTAGTTTAGCTTGGTAATGGACTCTGGTGCATGACTCAGTCTCTTTCGATGTATTCATTTTGTGTCTAGTCGTGCTGCTTGAATATATCTTGTGAAGTAAAAGTTTTCTTGTGGTTTTTAAGCTTGGGAATAGTGAAATAGAAACAGAATTTTGGATTTATACAATAAATTTTACAGTCAAATGAGAAGGAAAAAACATGCAGTGCCTTTGTGTGAGTAGAAGAATGAAAATTCTTAGTAATGCGAGTATACATGAAGAAAAATAACACTATCTGCTTGAAAGCCCACCCAACAGTTCTGCAAACGCTGAATAAATCATCAACCAGGACAAGTCATGCTACTGGCTCATTGTGTCTAATCATCAGCATTCAGAAACTACCCTGTTCTTCTAACTAACAAATGTAGCATGCTTCTCAAAACCGTAAAGTCATATTTCACAGTGATGAAACAAAAGTGAACTTGGACTTAAAGGTTTGTTGTATCTCTGTCAACTAAAAGATATTTAAAGATCTTTTTAAACAGCATTTAATATCATTAGATTACTTTAATGAAAATAGGTTTTACAGATGCAGTGTGTGACATCTGGTGGTGAGGTTGCAGATTGCAATATTCAGCAAAACTCATACATCGTGGTAAACAGCCCTCACTTCCATTACCATAAACGTAGTTCAAATTGCGCACTCAGAAATCAAACGCGGCTGACTTGATCAAGCACGTGTTCCTATGTAGATATAAAAGGCTCGTTCTAGGATAAAGAAAATGCAGAGATTTTTATTTTCTGAAGATTACACATTAATGAATGATGCATACTATAGTCCATTTCTGCTAATTGATCCCTCTAAATCTTACACACTGCATCTTTAAATACTGTTTGGGATGTGTATAAGAAACCTTCACTAATACTAAAATGGTCTGCATAGCTTTTTGAAAGTCAATAGCAGGTTTAAATCTTGAGCTTTACAACAGTACATTCAGTTAACACACTTTATTTTAATGATCGGCCTTTGAATAATAAGAACCTAAAACACGTCTTGAAGAATTACTCAGCTGGTCACGGTGCATTGTAGAGTTATTAGAAGACGAAAAGCAAGCAGTAATTGTTTCTTTTATTTGATTTCAGATCCACAGTTGTCTTTGTGTTCATCAAAGAAGGCTCAGTAGACACTAAGGAGTGAGAACAAAATGCTGGAAGCCGTTCAATAAAAAAACAAGCCTCTGTAGCTTAATGACTGATCACCTCTTTACAGCCTAAGTCAATGTGAATACCCAACCTTTTCCATAAAACGTAAATCCAGACAAGCATACAACAGTGGTGTTGTGCTGAAACCATTTAGCTGGGGGGGGGGGCTTTCTTATTAAAATACAGAGTTATCACAGATTTGACAGTGTTTCACGTATTGCATTTCCTTCCATCTGGCATTTGGTATGATTTTACGATCAAATATTTATTTTTCCCAGACAAAGTTGTCAGAGTTCATCTTCGTCAGAGCAGAGCAGGAGTGTTGCACAAGCAAACCCCGACTAAGATGTAATGTGTTCTGTTTGGCCTTTCTGCAGCATGGGAGCAGTTCAGTTTGTGTCTTATCTGAGAGATTTTTTTCATTTCACTAATGTCAGGCGAGGTGTCATATCCTCACCAGCTGAAGTGATGGGATAATGATTCACCCGCTGTCACTCGCTCACCTTCCTACTCACTCGTATCTGTTCTTGAACAGTTTGTTAATGTATCTCATTAATCTGTCTGAATAATTAGGCTTTCAATTGAACAACTGCAAACATTTTATTTTCCTCTATTTTGCTGAATATCAGGCACATAATTGGCAAAAAGAGGCCTGTGCAGACTCATAAATCATAAACACAATCTACATATTAAGCTCTATTTTTTTATTTACATGTTCTTATGACAGTGGCTTTTTTTTTTTTTTTGATAAATTGACATGACTTTGGGTTCCCCACATGTCACACGCAAAGACTTTACCAAAGGTGTGTGGAATACGTATTTTAGATCAAGGCTGCTCTGTGCTTTTAATAACAGATCAGAGTGCCTTACATTATACTAATGAATCCTTGAGCATAACTGTTACTCATCATTGAGATGGTGATTTGTGTGACTCGAGTACAATGGGGTACATGGCAGCTCTGAATGAGACTGGAGGAAGTGCAGATCATATAAGCACTCTTTTAATTCATAACTTGTGAAAACTCATAAACATTACTTGTCAAAAATCATAAGTCATAACTTGTCAAACACAGTGTGTTCCATCTCTGTGTGCTTGGGATTTGTCACATGAGTTCGCATGTGGAGCACAGAGTGAGCTGAACTGGGTGGATGGTGATATTGGTACTTAACGTACAGTGTCTCAGTCTGGGCAGGGAATAAGTGTCAGCAGATACAGTATCATACTGTTTTTAGAAAGTAATTCAGTTTGAGTATTTCTTTCATGATTGTTGTGAAGACATTTGAGGGTTAGACTTGCATTTTCACCCCAAACCAGGTTTGGCAGTTTATCTTGTGTCTGTATTTGCCCGCACACGTTAAATCTCACTGCTATCCAGTCCATATGGCTGAAAAGTCAGGAATCACTTTGCTTAAAGTCTGTGTCAAAAGTGCATTAAATGTTTTTTATGCTGCTCTATAATTCATGACCACCTTCATCCTTTTGCCTGACTCAGCCTGGGTTCAGTTTCTCAGTTACTCATGCCAGTTATTCTGTGAAGTCGAACTAAACCAGACTAAAGTTTGTCTAAAAGCCTCAGTGAACTTTCTGTGACTAGGTGAGCCTGCTTGGTGTTGGTCTTAATGTTCAGTAGTTTAAAAAGTAAACTTTTGAATAAAGTTTTATCATTTCCAGTCAGCATGAAATACCAGTTGAAGCTCATAACTTCTACATGAAGTTTAAAGTTGATCAACTGTTAATCCTGATGACAGAAACTAAGCATTCACCTGTAAAATCCATTTTTATGTTAAAGCATAGGTATATGCAGAATTTGTGAATCAGCATTGCACTGATATAAAAATGGTCTTCCAAATGTGCAGATCAGTGTTTCTATGTGTTCTGTGGCTCATTGCAGCAGTTTGCGCCCTCCCAGCCGTATCTTATTTATTACTGACTGGTGGTACAAAATTTGGATTACTGGTCTACGCCCGAGCTCAGGAGGAAGACATTGAGGTTTGTCCTGTGCTTGTCATTAGTCATTTTGTCTGACTCGCACATTTTAAAAAGCAGGTGCTGAAGTGGAGTTTGCCAGGATGGTAGTTGTTTCCAAAACTGAGAATTAACCAAGTCCATAAGACAGAATCTCAAGATACAGTATGTAATCTATAGGGGCAATTAATGGTGGAGTTTCTTTAGATATCTACAGAAATCTGTAAAGAACGAACATTATGTTTTGGTGTCAGTCCATGAGAACCACACTGGGATGAATCCATTGCAGAAGAGGCACAATAGAGATCTTTGTTTCTCAACTGATAGTTGTTTTACTCGAACACAGTCCAAGGCAGCAGCAGCAGTTTTGCTTTTTGGATGAAGAGGCTCCGACACAGTCAAACATTTCTCCACTTCCATGACCTTCAAAGTGTTCTCTTATTTTTATGGCACCTTTTTGGCTCCCTTGGTACTGTCATACCTTACTCAGCTGAATCTCATCCTATTAATTATCTCCCAATGTAAAACAACAAAAATTGTAATGAGCACCAAATGAATATGCCTTCTAAAAAGGATTTGTTTGGGTATGTCAATTTGCCAACCATACTGTAAATAAACTAAGATTTGTTGCCTCCTGTTTAATCCCCTGGAGAATCTCTAGCACAGTCTTGGCTATGGATTTTGATTTCTCCTCATATTTTTACAAGCCAATGTCCTTGGAGAGCAATAAATA